TTACCCTCGACTTGATTTCTAGCAGCGATTGTTTCGTTAATTTCTATTTTTAATCTTTTAATTTCTTCTTCGTTTTCCACCTTCTCATGTTGTAACTTGGCAAGTTCTTTTTGTAGAACAAAATACTTTAATGTGAGATCTGTTTGTATTTTTTGGACTCTGAACGGTTTGCTTCAAGATCCTGAACCTTATTCTTTGATTCTTGAATTTGTGCTTTGAGGTCTTGAATCTTATTCTTTGCTTCTTGAATTTGTGCTTCGAGTTCTTTTTGTGACAATTTATCTAAGACTCACTTTTTCAATTTCAAGGTCCCGAATCTTATTTTTCGATTCTTGAATTTGTGATTCAAGTTCTTATGATACAATTTAAAGTTTATGAGTTCCGATTCGAGAGTAGCATGTTTCGACAATAAGTTTGAATGGACTTCTTGAAGCATGGCATTTTTAGATTTTAAATTGACAATCTTGGTTCCCAATGCATTGTTTTTTAGTCTTAGACTAGTATTTTCTATTTCGAAGGTTTTGGCATTTGAAAAAAGGGTTATCTACATACATAATATATAATTTTAAAGTGTCAAAAAAGTCACTAATAGTCAATGGATACATTTTTTTCTTGTGATATTTGTGATGCTTGTTGCTCGTGCTAGTTCTATTGTGGATGATCGTTTAATTGTTGCTCTGTATTTTTGTTGTCCTTTTAACTGTTAAATGTTTTAAAGTAATAATCAAACTGGATATCTGATTAAAGGAAATTTTATATTTAATTATATGCTCTTCATGCTTGACTTTTTGTTGTTCTTGTCATGAATATATAAATACTGCTCACAAATACTTTAGATTCTTCACTTGAGAAACCTCATATTAGTAAAAATGTCTTTATTCAAAACAGAAGAGCCAGAATTTAAGAATCTCTATCTACGTGACAGATTTCTTTTCTCGTGTCAACAGTCTCTACCTCTTCAAAATAATATTCAACACCAGTATCATAATAATATGATACTGGTTA